ATTATGCAACTTAGACAATAAGCTGCTACACTAGCTGAGGCAGTGTACAAAGTGTTCTGACTAATTTTTTTGAGTAAATTATGCGAATTATTTAATTCATTTTTTGGGGAACAATAACAACCAATAAATAAAGTAAAACTTTAAATAATCAAAATATAAACTATTTTTAACAGTTTGATGTTTGAGATTCAAACAGGTCCATATAAATTCTTGCCATAATTACAACTTGAAAAAAAAATGAATTTGTATTCAAAGTTACCCCGCTATTCAAAGTAACCCCGGTTTACGGTATGTATGTAATGAAGAATGTTTAGAAGCTAGATTGATACCATAATGAAACAATACCATTCTGATCACAATTGCATATTTTGGCCATATTTAGCTAGTGAACATTATGCAAAAATGGTGAAAAATATACCAGTGGTACCCAAGCAATAAAACAATGCATATTTCCAAGAAACTAGACCTATGGAGGACTTCTGGACTCTATAGCGATAACTAGTGTACTTCAAATACTGATCAACTCGAAAAGGTAATAAAACAATGTTTAACTAAATTTGATATGGAATGCGTACAAAAGATTGTTATTCAATCTACAAAACAAATTCTGATCAAAATTACATGATTTGATTCTGATCAAAATTACATATTTTAGCCAAATTTAGCTAGTGCACATTATGCAACAACGGTGATAGCTTATTTAGTTGAAAACAATCTTCCCGTGATACTAAAGGAATAAAACCCTGCAAATCTCCTAGAGTGAGAAAAAAAAAATGTTAATCTGAATTTAGTATGGAACACGTACAAGGAATTTTTAGAAGTCTCGATTAGATCGTGTACGCCGTTAAAGAAAGACGACGTCGTAAAAAGAAGACGACACAACCGGCACCTGTTGTGCTGGTTTGGGATTTAGTAAAATAATGAAAGAATCATTAAATATGCTTCAAAACCTTTTTAAAAATGTTTTCGTTTTTTATTTTTTATTGAGCCGTACTGATATTTTAAACTCATTCCGGATAATAATTTATCACCCGTTATTATTTGTATAAAAATGTTATAACTTAAAGTTTTTGTTATTATTATTATTATTATATTTTCTTTGCCGTATAATTAAATTTACAATGAGAAAAAACCATTCATGTATAAAAATTGGCCGGAGCAAGCAGAAGACATAAACTGTCTTATCGCCAAGCCCCGTTTACATTAACGTCACAAAGTTACAAGGTAAAAACTAAGAGGTTAAAAATTGAAGTACAATACAATATTAGTTCTACAAATATAAGACACAAGTAATAAATCGAACAAATGTTATTTGTCTGTTCAAAATTAATAGTATATATATTTTTTATTTTAATAAGAAATAAACAAGATATACAAGACAATAGTAAATGAGTAGTGATGACTTTTTCAGGTTTAATTATTTTAGGCGATTTTAGAATAAATCTTTAAAATCGAAAGTTTTTTCTAATAGAAAACGTTTAGGTTCTCTTTTGAATTGTTCTAAGGAGATGCCTCGAAGAATTTTATTTTTAATTATATTTTTTAAAAAACCTTTCCATATAAATGGTCCCGGGTATTGAATTTGAAATGAATTGAGTTTTAAATAAGATCTTGGAATAACAAAATTATCAGATGAAAATTTAGTGGGATATTTATGAGATATTTCGGTAAAGTAAGACTGAAATATATTAGGAGATAACGCATGTTTTGTTTTAAACGTGAATAGCATAACTTGGTATATATTAAGTTTGTAAATATTAAGCACATTAAGTTTCTTTAAAAGAGATTCACCATTAACAGTTCTGTTAACGCCAAAAATAATCCTACAAGCATGTTTTTGTTTGCTATAAATTTTTTTGAGCTTCCCATAATTGGTACTTGCCTATGCAAGATTACAATAGGAATGATAACTATGAATAAATGAGAAATATATAATTTTTAAAGATTCCGTATTAAGAAAAGGTTTAACTTTATATAGCATTGAAATATTTTTGGAGATTTTATTTTCAATAGATCTAATATGATATTTCCATGATATATTTTCATCTAATATCACTCCTAGAAAGTTAATAGTTGACTCTCTTTTAATAACTTTTTTGTTCATAAAGAGATCAGGTAGTTTTAAAAAAAGGTTATCACCTTTACTAGGTTTGTGGAACAACATAAATTTAGTTTTCCCAACATTTAATGAAAGTTTATTATTCGTAATCCATTCATTTATTTTTAATAACTCTTCATTAAAAATTCTAAACAGATCTTTAATATTTCTGTTAGAGTAAAAAAGATTTGAGTCATCAGCAAACAAAATAACGTTTAGAATTTTGGATGCTAAATACAAATCATTAATGAACAGTATGAATAATAAGGGCCCTAAGATTGATCCCTGGGGAACACCACAAGTTATGATATGTTTTTTTTCTTCATTTTCTGTATATATTATGTATTGTTTCCTGTTTGAAAGGTAACTTTTAAACCATTGTAAGTTATTGTTTAATACTCCATACATTTCTAGTTTTTTTATTAGAATATCATGATTAACAGTGTCAAATGCTTTTGACAAATCAATAAAAACTCCTAATGTATAGCAATCATTATTGAACCCATTGGATTCATAATTTATTAGATCGACTACTGCATGGTCCGTTGAATAGTTTTTTTTAAACCCAAATTGTTTATTATACAGAATATTGTTCTCAGTTAAATAGTTGTTAAGTCTATCATACATAATTCGTTCTAACAATTTAGAGAAACATGGTAAGACAGAAATAGGTCTATAATTGGACATATTTGTATCATCGCCATTTTTAAAAATAGGTATAATCTTAGCAATTTTTAATTTCTCCGGTACAATACCGGATTTTAAAGAAAGGTTAAAAAAGTGAAACAGTGATGGTTCAATAATATCAAACACAGCTTTAACTACATTAACGCTAATTTTATCAATGCCCGCACATTTATTATTTTTCAGACAGTTGAAAGCATTGCGCATCTCACTTAAGTTTAAATTAGATTCTATCATAGATGTGTTGGGTGTATTTATATAAGATTCGAAGTTGTTTGAGTTGGTTTTTGGAATTTTATCAGCTAATTTTGGTCCAATATCAAGAAAAAATTTGTTGAGCTTGTTAATTATGACTTCTTTATTATAAATTATATCCCCGTCAACTAAAAGTTTTTCTGGCAATTTATTATTTTGACATTTATTTGTACCGGTTATCTGCTTAATTACATTCCACGTCTTTTGTGTGTTTCCATGTGTTTTTTCTAGCAATTTTGCATAATAATTTTTTTTAGATTGTTTCTTTATTTTTTCAAACAAGTTTTTATAATTTTTATATTTTGTTTCATTTTTATATGTTTTATGTTTTAAATATTTTTCATAAAGGTTTTGTTTCCTCTTTGATGATTTGAGTAAACCTTTGGTCATCCAAGGGTTTAAAAGTGATTTAGGATTTATAATTTTTTTTATAACTGGAAATGCCAAATCATAGTATTTACAAAACTGCGCCAAAAATAATTCATACGCATTATTCACATCTTGCGATTGTAATATAAGATCCCAATTAGTTTTTTCAGATAAAAGATTTCGAAAATATATTATGGAGTTTTTATTGATTTGTCGCATTGATATTGTTGATTTAGAGACAGAATGATTAAGGGTTATATTATCTGTAGTTAAGAATATTGGGTAATGATCTGTTATGTCAGTTTTAATTATACCCGATTCTAAAGGGCAATTATGAAAATTATTAGTAAATATGTTATCTAGTAAAGTCGAGGAAATCTTAGTTATTCTCGTCGACTTATTTATAGTGGGAATGATATCGTATTGTATAAGTGTATCTAAAAAGCATTGAACATTTAGATTTGAAGCATGATTTAACAAGTTTAAATTATAATCACCAGTTAAGTACACGTGTTTCTTTGTAATGTTAATTTTACTTAAAAATGTTTTTAGATAGGTATGAAACTTTTTTAAATTACCAGATGGCTTTCTATAAATAGAACTAATAATGGCTTTCTATAAATAGAACTAAGGAAAAATAAAAGGTACCGTTAAGCTAGAAGAAACATAAAATATTTACTTTTCTTTTGGAGACCATTCTCGTACAATCAACTTGTCGTATGATATAAACGCGAATTTCCCACCTTCTCGAGCTTTTTTCATTTCCATCCGTAACTCTTTTCTTATTTGTACCGTCTCCGCACAATAATCCTCATTTATATATATGTTTTTGCCTTTTAATTTTGAAGAATTTTTTAGGATTCTTTCTTTATCTTTATAATTTAGTAATTTTAGTACTATAGATCTTACTTTTTTGCCGTCTCTGATTCCAGTTCTGTGAGCCCTTTCAATTTTAATTTCTTTCAGTCCAAGTGATTCTTCAAATAGCTTTAACACTTTTTCTTCACTATAGCTCCAACTTTCATTATCATTTTCTTTTAAACCGTCGATTCTCAGGTTATTCCTTCTCGATCTATCTTCAATTTCTCTTAGTTTGCTTTTTACCTTTAATAACTCACTTTTATCCCTTAATTTACTATTTATTTCTTTAGTTTTCTTTTTTACTACCTCGAATTTCTCAGAAGCAATTTGATCCCTGGTCGTTATGTATTTCTTTAATTCCGTAAAGTCAGCCTCAAGAGAGATTTCGATTTGTTGGGTGAATCAAAACATGATTCTAAAATTATTCGTTTTACAGAAACCTGGTGTAAGTGAGGTAAAAAAAATGCGCAATTCGAACTAATTAATTACAAATCAGTTAACCAATATCTTTAATGTTGGTAGAGGTATTAAAATAAATTTACGCTTTTCATAATACTTATACATAAATTAAATTTTCAATTTAAGGTTTTTCTAACCTTTAACCTTATCAATTACTAAAGTAACTTTTTTAAAAACATATTTTTTTGACAAGCAAAATGTTTTTTTGAGAACGGACGAAATAATTCTATGCCGTTACACAATGCACTTAAAGTAAAAATAGAAAACTTCTGACCTCGCTGTAATCAAACTCTTGATCCATTTTGTCAATTATTGATTTCTTCTTTAAAAAAAAAAAAGATTTTTTTGTATCAAAAAATGTAGTTTAGAAACGCATCAGATAAAAATATAAATCAACTATAGCTTTTTAAAGTATACTAAATTATCAAGTGATAAAAAAAATCTCTTTGATGTCAAAGTAATTAAAAAAAAAACGCTTGGAGTTATATAAAGAGATTATCTATCTAATCTTAATAAGAAATATTTATTTAGCATATTACTCCATCCAAAAAAGCTTACAATAACTTTTCAATAATAATTTTGATGACTTTGCTTTAAAAACTAATTCTTTTTTTTTATGCAACGGAATTACGTATACGAATACGAAACAACGGAATTTAGGTTTACGATATTTACGATAATTACGTATACGAAACAACGGATTTACGAACACGAAACAGTTATAATATAAATTATAATATTGTAACTCATCGGTCATCCAACTTAAAAAATCCCGTTGTATATAAAAAAAAAGGATTGTTATTAAAAAGTTATTTTTAGCGTTTTAGTCGGTAATAGTATACTAAATAAATATTTAAGTAAAGATTAGAGTTAAAACTCAAAAATCTTATTTTTAATATTTTGACTTCGAAAAGAATTTAATTTTTTTTATCACTTAATAATACAGTATATTTAAAAAAAGGTATAGCTGATTTATACTTATCTGATGAGTTTCTAAACTACATTTTTTGATACAAAATACACATACCTTAGGTATGTGTATTTTGTATAATATATTATACAAAATACACATACTTAATTTTATATCCACCTAGATTTTTTTTTAAAAATAGAAAAGTTTAAGTTTATTTTTTGTTTAGTTTTTATTTTAGTTTATTTATTTGTAGTTGCTATTTACTTTATTGGTATTAAAAATTTCATTCCAGCTCTGGAAATTTTTTATGAATCTAAATCTCTAAATTTCGTAGAAAAAATAAAAACCCTTTTATGCTCTATTTTCTCACTCAATGGAGGTACCTAGTTTTCTTTTTGTCGTTTTAATGAACTTATTAAAATTAAACAATTTTTTTCAGATGTAAATAAACATATATAAGTAGACATATGTATATATATATATATATATATATATATATATATATATATATATATATATATATATATATATATATATATATATATATATATATATATATATATATATATATATATATATATATATATATATATATATATATATATATATATATATGTATATATACATATATGCACTCATATATATATATATATATATATATATATATATATATATATATATATATATATATATATATATATATATATATATATACATATGTGCACTCATATATATATATATATATATATATATATATATATACATATGTGTACTCATATATATATATATATATATATATATATATATATATATATATATATATATATATATATATATATATATATATATATATATATATATATATATATATATATATATATATATATATAATAAGCTTTCAAAAAAGATAGGCGCAATAAAATTTTGAATTAATCCATTTGTCATAGTTATTTTTGAATTGGTCAACTGTCTTTGCGGCAACGACAAAATCTGGTAGACTATTCTAATAAGGTACTAAACGATTGCATAAAAAATTATGTCTGGCTGAATTTCTAATAAACTCTCTATATTTAAATTTCGCACCACTTAGACCACCAACTGGGCCATTGACTGTTAATAGGCTGAGAGTATGATTTTGCCTTTTAACTATATAAAAATTCTTAGAAATTTTTAAAATATTGTATCTGGTCCCCTCTTATTCTGCGTTCGTAAAAAGTTTTTAAACATAACTTAACCAGACGTGATTTATAACTCAGGTTCCGTAACTGAGGAAGTAACTTAGTAGCATGTCTCTGTACCTGTTCAAGCTGTTCAATGTCTTTTTTAAGGAATGGATTCCAAACTGGTGCGCAGTACTCAAGCAAAGGACGAACATAAGATGTATAGAGTTTGAGAAACATACACACATTCCATTATTTAAAAGTTCTCTTAAGCATTCCTAAAACCATATTAGCTTTTTGTGCTGCTTGGTTTATTTGGTCAGCCAATTTGAGCTTGGTGTTTATATAAACTCCTAGTGTTTGTTCAACACAGATATTCTCTAGTTGAATTTGATCTCCAGAATTGTCCTCCATGTAAAGAGAGTCATTGAGATACAATGATCTGCCATGAAACTTCAAAACTTTACATTTGCTGATGCTGAAATCCATACACCACAGTTTAGACCACTCACTTAAAGAATATATGTCAGCCTGAACATAAACAAAATCAAGAACACTTTTTAATTTGACAACTAATTGACAATCTACAGCAAACAATTTACAATAATTTATGACAAGTTCTGGCATATCATTGATAAAAATAAGAAACAATTGAGGTCCAATAACAGAGTCTTAGGGCACACCACTCAACATCTCAATCTAATCTGAACAAACTTCACGCAAAACAACACGCTGCTTCCTTTTGCTGAGAAAGTCTTTCAACCAAACTATTATTTTGGTACAATAATCATAACTAACCAATTTGATTTGAAGCAGTTGGTGAGATACCAAATCCATTGTCTTGGCGAAATCCAAGTGAAGCAGCAAAGGTGCACATCCATCACTAAGCGCTTCAGTAATAATATCAAGCACCTCTTAACAAGATTAGTTGTGCATGATTTTAGTTTTACAAATCGATGTTGATGTGGCAACAAGAGATTGTTCAAGAGCAAATAGTCAGCCATCAAATCACGTAAAATTTTCTCCATTAATTTGCCAACTGTAGAGGTCAAAGAGATTGGCCTATAATTACCTGGATCTGTGCGTAAACCTTTTTTAAATATTGGTGTAATGTTTGCCTGTTTCCAAACATAAGGAACCAGGCCTGACTCGAATGAATTTATAAACAAAAGTGAAAACGATACACTAAAACTTCAGCTACAGTTTTTTAATCCAAACGGATAGATACCATCAATACCAGTATAATCTAACTTAGAAAGTAGTAATTCAATTTTATTTGGACAAAAAAGTGCTTCAAGTTTCGGCTTGCAGCAGGCTTTATTAAGAGGAAAGTCCGGATTAACTGGGTTAATCCGGACTTAGTTCGGATTAACCCAGTTAATCCGGACATAGGTTCATAGGTTGGTTGTGACAATGATTTGTAAAACTGGTCATTGAGACAATCAGCAACAGGTTTTTTATCACACTTTAGTTATATCGTTTTTGTAGTTTAAAACAGCTTCCGCAACTAACATCTTGACTAATCGATTTTGCCTATTGTACAATACACGAATTTTATCTTTATATTTACAAGAACAACATCGCAATTTCATAAGCTGCCTATATTTCTCTCTAGACGCAGTTCTAATCTCAGATTAAACCATTTTGGATTACATTTACTTGGTCTAAACGAGGTGGTTCGCTTAGGAATAAATTGTTTACAAAGAGAGGTGTAAGAGAGGTGTAATGAATAATCCAAAGTACTCATCAGCTGACTTGTTATTAAACATCCAATTTAATGCATCAAAAACTAGACTAAAAGCACCTTTTTCATGGATAAAATTTATTTTTTGAAGAACAGGTACATTGGTTCGAGAAGTTAGTCTAAAGTCCCATAGCAACGAATAATCAAGGCAATTTTTCGCTGTACAGCCAACAGCATACCCAACAACAACATTAAAAATGCGATCAGGGTTGTCAGAAAAACCATATCTAATCTGTTGTTGAGAAAAGTAGGTTCAGTAACAAACTGGGTGAGAAAACAATCACTAATGCTTTTAAGGAATTCACAACTAGCAGGTTTTCCTTTAATACAATGACCAGCCAGATGGGCCCATTTAATATTAATGTGATTGAAGTCAACAACAATGAGTAAACTAGTGTATATTCCATTATCAACAAATGCTTTAGCACGTGCAATAGACTCATTAATTTGAACGTTAGACTCATACTGCGTCTTAGGATGAAGATAAATACACCCCACTAAGAGACGATCGTATTCTATAACAATCTTGCACCAAACTTACTCGACCGCTGCTGATCATTAAACTCGCAGTTTAATGAATGAATATCATTTCTAATATAAATGACTACGCTGCCGCCTCTTCATTTTCTATTTCGTAAGTATTCAGTGCAGTTATTTATAGAGGTCAGTGATGATAAATTGAACCAGGTTTCTGTAAAGGCTATTATATGAGGATGATCTAATGTGGCTATTCAAGCTTTGAACTCAGTCCATTAGTTTCTCTAAAAATGTAGCATTTGTATGAAGGCATTTAAGATCTGAAGTAATAGAAGAGGAAGAGGATAACAAAACTTAACTGGATCTATGTGACTATAACAAAGCATAGACATTTTAAAATTAGTTTTAGACTTCCTTTTTATCTGTCCAACAAATTGACTCAAAACGGACTGCCCAAAAACCTTTTTTGTCATCTCTAATGCCGCATCGGAGCCTCCCTCCAGTACCTTTTACTTCAGTCAAATTTTCATTTCTGACTCTACAATCAGCACGGAGTTTAGAAGATGCAATCCTCTTATTTTTGGTTTGGTCAGCTCTTACACAAATTCTGTTAAAACCAATCATTTTCTTGAGATATCTAATATAAGAGGAAGATACGAAATCATTTGGTTTGTCTGAGTTGCATTTAAATTACTTAAGTATGAAACTTCTGAAGGAACATATTTCTTTTTGAGTCTCCTCTCAATCTTAACATCATTTCTGGACAGTTTCAAAATAGCCAAAATATCTTCTACAGTTTTATTATCATCATTCTGGTTAGAAGACTCTGTCACATCACTGATAATAACATTATTTCACCACTGATAATAGTATTATTTTATTATCGTAATTTTGGCAAATAAAGCTGCTGTTCTCTTTAGAGGTTCCATTTCTATCTTTGTTAATGAAGCCAGCCCAAGCATTAGCACAACTTATACCATTAGAATTTTGTTTAAGATCATCAATTTCAAGACGTTTCGCATCATTTTTTGCTTCTAATAAAGTAACTTTTGTAACAAGAGTTGAAACCAGTGACGATAGTTTTCTTCACCAAGTATGCAGTTGCTTAGTCAGCTCACTGGGGTTTCCTTGGGCAA